CCCCCCAGCCCCTCACCCCAACCAACAACAGCAAAACCAAACAAAGCAAGTAAGCCTCAGGTGGCTGCAGGTGTCTACGCTACCTTTTATTAGATCAAGAGAGCAGGATAGACAAAAACAGCCTTAGAAGACGACGACTATGCAAGTCCTGAGCTAGAAAAGCATGCCTAAAGGGACAGTCCTGGGCACAAATGAACCACAGGGTCCAGGCAGCTCTCACACTTCATACAAAGCCATTCTAGCACTGGCATGAAAGCAGAGAATCACTCCAAGTTGTGTTTCCACATCACCTGCCCACTCCCACGAAGGGCTGCGAAAAATGAGTTTCTTTGTTGCTGCACAGCACATGACAGCTATCAAAGTAATAAAAATCACACCAAATAACTAAAGGCACAACTCCCTTTCAGTGCCAGGTAGCAGATGCTTCTGGTGGCCATATGTACATCGATGGCAACAGAGGTCTTTCTAAGTCTTTGCAGGGTTGCATTTGCTGCTACTTTGTGCCCAGTGGGACAAAACGCTACCTGGCATTTTCTGAAGACAAATGAGAATAGTCAAGCCTCCTGGACAGTGTCTGCACTTTTGATGTTCGTCGTTAGGAAAGAAGGCCAAGAACAGGAGCTGCTGTATGATACAGAACACCTGCCCCAGGCATCGAGCACTCTGGGCTTACCTGCATACGAGAGAGCATTTGGTTTGCTTCAGCAGTTCATTTGCAAGCGCTAAGAGCGGAGCGGGAGGGACATTCCAAGCCCTACATACCCCACAGTGTGCAAGAGTCTGCCTAGTTTTTATTCATCCTATTTCCAGGATTGCCAAAACCCATAAATTTCTTCCTGAACACTCTCAATGTGGAAAATATCCTCTATTCTGAAGAGTGCTCTGGGATTAGCTTATGAAATATGCTTCACGTGTGTAGCTACGCTGACATTATTTTAAGTCTAGCCAGTTTCCCAATTCCAATCTTACGGTCCTGCACATGTCTAGCAGCGAGGCTTGAGGAGCTTGCTAAGACATCCCCTCCTCCCCGCACCAGATAAGGTTTCCCTGGGAGACCAAAGTTATCTTAATCTGCAGAAAGCCATCAAACTCGATACTTCCCTCCCTTTGATTATTCTTTGAGTCAATGGCTAAAATTAAGACTTTCCAGCACGTGCTTTTTTTCCAAACAGGCTGCTTCCATGGACTGTTAATTACAGCCTATCTATCTCCATAAAAAGTGCTGAAGAATGGCTCTTCTGAACCTATACAGAACTTCTAATTACCCTCCAAGTATCAGATTGCTAGTTTTCCTGGCTGGAGAACACCGTAACCTGGGCACGCTCAGCAACAGGCAACCAACCATCCTGCAGCCCTTTGCTTTCCAAACAGCGCTCCTAAACGGGTGGCCCCAAAGCTTTCAATTCCCACCCTCCCCCATGTATTTTTTTCCAATATAGTTGAGAATGAGAACAGAAATAGCCACCTCTCTCACATCATTTCCACTTACTGGAAAAAATGTACCGGCAGGTTTTTTTTTTTTTTTTTTAATCATATGATAAATAAGAGATGGCGCAAAGACACAATTCTCACCTTAAAGCAGAGAAACACACAGAGAAGTCCTAAATTGCTGAGGGGTCCCTTCTAACCAGTAGCCGTCGCTCCCAGTCCAGGGATAACCCCCCCCGAAAGGGTGCTCTGAGCTCAGCCCAGGCGCCGCGAAACCGCCGTCTCGGAGCCAGGCTGACCCGCTCAACGCCCCTTGCTGTGGTAGCCTCTGCCCGCCCCGCGGCTGGGGGCGGGCCGTCCCCCGGGACCGG